GGGAGGCTGCTCCCTCCCGTTCCGGGAGCCTCGCCAGGCATCGCAGTCCGACCACCTGTGGGGCCGCCTAAAGCCCGCGAGCCTTCAGCAGTGCTGGTGACTGTCAGCGGGGAGAAGGCCCTCTCTCTTGCCAAAAAAACAGGTACAAGCAAAGGAAGCCTCTCACTCCAGGTTTTGTGTCAGTGTCCGATTTCCAGGTGTGTGGTGAGAGGAGGTGAGCTCCCTTTCTGTGGTGGTGCGCTGCCTAGGTATTCAACAGTGTGTAAAGTAAGGGATTTGGCTGTGTGGCAAAAGAGGGAGTTGAAAGAAAGCGGTAACTCAGGTGTTAGGGGATGGCAGAGCTTTAATTGGGGTAGGGCTGTGTTAGCAATTGAGACTCCTAGCAGTAATTCACATGGACGTCGGGATGTGGGTCATGTACTGGCTGATACTGCTGGTCTAGAAAAAAAAAACAACCCACAACTTACTTGTCAGTAACGGGAGCATGGACAAAAGGTTTGGTTTGGTTTTGGTTTTCTCTTTAAGACTTCCAAGGCTTGGCCCAATGTGTCACGCGGGTGCTGCAGGCCGTGGCCCTGCCACTCGCAGCAGGCCCTGCTCTTCAGGCTGTGTGTCTGTAGTCTGGTACGCGTCTGTCGGGTGTCCTGGCTTGCCCACGTGTGGGACATGTAACATTCCATAAAAAGTGTTCTGTTTAAATAATTTAGACTTCACGATGCAGTATTTTTAAGCTAAAGCTAATAATTTTTGTGACCTTGTTTCTGTAAGGTTTAAAAAGTGCTTGTGCACATCTATTAGAATTCGGATAAATGTGCTTCCAGTTTTACCAGTTGTCAAGCAGTAGAAAACCAGTCTCTTCAACTTGAAACCTGTGATCTGGACTGTACCAGACTCTGGTATTACTCACTTCCTGTCTCTCACAACCTCCTCCCTATTTTCTACTGAGACTCCTTCCGTCTTTCTCTTGCTTAAACATCTTCTTGCCAAACCTCTGTCTTTCTGTCTCACCCACCAAAACAAGCATATCAGAAAAGCTTAAAATTTTCTTGGCCTAATTTATTTCTATGGTTAATACTATTTATTAGTACACCTGCAATGTGTTCTAGAAAGTTACACATGTAAAAGGAGTAGACCAGAATATAATTTGGGTGGTGGTTTAAACACAGAAATTAAGAAGAAATGGCCCTGCTTTTATTGCTTGTCTTCCTTTTCTCTCTTCCCTGTTCTGCTTTATTTATGCTGATGGTATTGTAATAAATGCACTATAGGGGTGATTAAAAAAAAAAAAAGAGGAGCCTTACTAATAACAGTAAGGATGCATAGTCTGTAAACTCTTCAAGCAAAAGTCTGTAGACTTTCAGTACAAGCATAAGTAACAGTATATACTTAAGAAGTGTTTTTCCATTTTGAAAAAAAAATAGACATTCAGGTCATTACATAATGTGTGTTGTCTTTCAATAGATTCACCTAAAAACATTTGCAGTTTTTCTTTAAATTTGTGAACATATTAACATTATGTTGTTAGGTGGGATCCATTCCACAGAAAGCTATCTCTTAATTACGCTACTGCAGAAAAAGAAAGGCTAATAATACCATGGGAGACTGTCTGTTCCTTGCCCACTTCCATCAAAATATCTCTTGAGTAAGGGCTGTTCTCTTACTGAAATTTATCTGGTTGTTTCCTTACAAGAAAATGGTGAAATAATTTGTTCAACTTCTGTAACTCCAAACATGAAGTGGTCTGGCAGTTTTTAATCCTATGAATCACTGGGATTCCTGTAGCCTAGCAGACCACGATAGTGGCAGTCCGGTCAACAGCTGTGAAATGGCTTTATTCATTTGTGTATTTTCTTTTAGAGTAAATTGGAAAACATAATTTCTTTAAGTTCAAGCTCACTCAGCCAGACTTGCTGACTTCACTGGCCCCAAGTGTTGCTGAAGCAGGGGCAGGAGATGATAGCTCTTACACTTAGGCCTCCATCACAGCAATTGATTTTTTTTAAAGCAGAATCTCTGCTGAAGCGAGTGGGAATTCTGCAGAGGCACTGTTGTTATTGGATGGTGGCAAACAGGATCTACAGACTCAGGAAGAAAAGTCAATAGGGTACAGCACCAGAAACGCTTAGGCCTTCATCACAGCAATTGATTTTTTTAAAGCAGAATCTCTGCTGAAGTGAGTGGGAATTCTGCAGAGGCACTGTTGTTACTGCATGGTGGCAAACAGGATCTACAGACTCGGGAAGAAAAGTCAATAGGGTACAGCACCAGAAACAGACTGTGAGGACCAGAGCTCTGTAGCAATCCAGTCAGCATTGTCTAAAGGAACATACATTAAAAGATGCAGTCGCAAGGCAGAGCTGCCTGTCATCATGCTTTGTGGTTACAGCTGTTCTCTAGAACTCTGGTTTTCAAGCCACTTTCTATCATTTTACTCTTTTCTATGATATTTGGCATGAGACCAACCTGTTCTGGTAGACCAGAGGTGGACTGCTAGTGACTGTGGGCTCAAGTGCTTCATTGGCCTTTGGTATAGAACTATATTTCATCTTCAGAAAGGACTAATGCATGTTGTGAGGTGTAAATGAGGGACACCCATCTTATCACCCCACTAGATTGTTACGCAGATTAACAGGACAATGTTTGTGGAAAGCTGGAGTTCTTCATCTTCCTGTTTAATTATTGTGGAAAATGTGGGGTTTTAATTACAAATTTCATATAGGGTCAACACAATGCATTAATAGATGCAGTTTATTTCAACACAATATTACATTGTGTGATGTATAGAGAGCTAATGGGGGTAGCTGTGGATGCAAACAGATGAATTGAGAGGTCAGAAAGCCACACAGGTTTGAAAAACTTCTTAAGTGTAAATAAATGTGTTTCAGCTTTCAACTTTAGCAAAACTTTCTCGTTCTTGATTTCCTGTTGTGTGTCACTTCTTTAATGGAAATAAATGTATTTGTAGTAGGTAGGTAACTAATAAACACCATTCTTTACCAGACTTGCTGCTGCACGAACAAGGAAGTAAATGCAGAAAATCCAGATTAGTTGTAATCCTCAGTAGTAACAGGAAAAATCTTATCAGTTTGCCAAAGAAAAGCAGTCATCTACTTGTAATAAATCACTGATTCACTACATCAAAATAAAGGGAAAGCTGTTTTTCTATTAAAGCTGTTCAAGAATGTTTCATTTAATGATAGAGTTCTCCTTCCTGCTCTATGACAACTTTTATAATTCAGTAAAGCCTGAATATTTTTTGAATTACTATTAGCATTATGCTGGCAATGCTGTTGGCATTATTAAATTATATGTTAGCATTATGCTGCCTTTTACTGTGTTTATTTTTCTTCCTGTGAAGTGCTTTGAATGAAACATGCTATGGTCAGACATCAGAATTTGACTTAAAGACTGCAGTATTCACCTTACTCCCAAAAGCAGAAATACACAGCAAGATCCTAGTCATAATGACTTGCAGTTTGCCAAACTGTTAGCCAGAATTTTAATGTTAGAATACCATGTCGTACTAAATAGATGTAACAGAAAGCTAGTCTGAAGTTATGAGAATGTTTTTATACTGATTTCAGGGAGGCATGGAATTAATATAACAAAACTTGCATATATGTGCTAGTACGTGGTTTTTAAAAATTCTCTTTTTTAAGAGAAATAAACCATTTAAGAATCGTGCATGTCTTTGCTCAGGTTCCTGTGTGTGTATTAGTTCAAAGAGGAAGCTTTTGTAGTATGCAAAACAGGGTGATACATGGAGGTTCCTGTTTGAGGTATTGAGCGTATCACTTCTTGATATGCGTAAAGGACAAAGGTATACACCACTCTGTGGGTGAGTGCTTTAAATAAAACTGCCACTGAAGTCATAGATAGATTGACTCAATAAAGAACCAAAGTATCTGGCCTTCTTACCTGTTTTTAGAAATCCTCACAGTTGTCTGTTTGGCTGTACCACAGATGTAACATACATTCCTCAATAAGGAATACAAAAGCATAAAGGTATTACTGTAGCTAGAGATGAGCATTTGTTGAAGCAATATGTAATCAGAGTTACAAAAATCAAAAGCTAAGAGAACATCTTTACCTATTGGACCTTTTTCTTCTTCGCTAAAAAGATAAAAAGAAAATATGGCAACCCAATGAAGAAGGGAGATCGAGACAATGCTCCAATTTTTTTTTTTTTTAATTACCATCATTAATGAATATGTGTGGTGTGGGCTAGATGGGTAAAACATACCTCGCTTAAGAGAAAAATTACTGTAAAACCAGTCATCAGACATCCTAGTTGAACTGCACAACAGATCAACTAATGCTGCAATCTGTAAACAAAATCGGTATTGACTTCATTTGTGACCACCACAATTTTGTCCAGAAACAGTAGTGTGCTCCATAGCTGGCTGCATGATAATGTAATGGAGTCTAATGTTTTTCAGGTGCTACAGTACCCACATGATCTGGCTTTATCTGTTTTCTTTCCTCCCTCCTCTTTTGTACACAAACACACCTCATGTCATCAGCAAAGTATGAACTCTTAAAAAAAGAAAAGAAAAAAAAAACCACAAACAAACCACACACCTGCAGTATGAATACCCATACTTAGCCATAGCAGTTGGTGGGCCTATTAGTAGAATTTAATTTTGTTACTACTCCTGCTCTGTGAGCTGCTTCTTTCTTTCTAGCTCTGACAGCTAAACTTGGGGACTACCTCTTCCCTCAATCCTTCTTCCAGAGAAACCTGAAATGTAGTAAGTCTGAGTGTGGAAGAATAATACTTTGCTTTAATTGCTGCTTTACAAAGACAGTTAATAGATCTAATATAACATGATATCCTGCATAGCTATCTACAAGTGAGTGTATCCAAAACATATCTTCATTTACAGTTTACTGCCCATGGCCCTTTAACTTTTTATATGCAAAGAGTTCATT